TGGGGTGGCCCGAGGTGAGGGTGCCCCATGGAGGTGCTAGCGGCCTCCCCCAGCTCACAGCAGGAAGCAGCAGCACTTTATATTGCCTGACTGCGTCCTTCTCCCTTTCTTGCTGCGTGTCGATGCTGCAGCTCTATCAGGAAAAGAATAATTAAATTTCCTCTTGGCAGCTCCCGTTTCCAGACCGCTGCTGCGTCTCCTGTCCGGTTGCCGATGGTGCAGAAAGTTCAAGGTTGCGTCCCGGGTTGTTGGCCGTGCAGGGGAAGCGGGGCTCTGCAGTGCTGGGGGGGCACTCTGCGGGGGCAGAGATGGAGCTGCGTTTCTGGGACTGCACAGGCTTGCGTAACCCCGCTGGAGCTTTTGCAGCCCCCTCGCAGGAGCGTTGCCAGCTTCCTCTGAGGAAGGGCATAAGGAAATGGAGGGAGCTGTTAGCAGAAGTGGTGTGGGAGGCTGAGACCGGGCGTGCAGGCTGGGGCAGGCGTCTGGGGAGAAAGCGTGAGCGCGCACCTCCGGCCAAAGTGGAAATTCCTCTGGTCAAGATCCCCCACACCCGCTGATGGGCTGACTCCCTGGCCATGGTGGAACACCATGCCTTGGCAGAGCCCTGCTGGCATGAACTGAAGAAGTGTCTCTACTTGTAGGGGGATCTTTTCCTGGTTTTTTTCCTTATGACTTTGTATGTGAGAGCCCGGTCAAAAGAGGCAGCTGGAAGCTGCACAACTATCCAGCACAAAAGGCCTCAGAGGGCTGCAGCTGGCTGCGGGCTTAGGCTGGAAACATGGAAACTATTCTGCTCTGCTCGTGGCTGGCGGCGATTTCTGCTCAGAAATTATGCGGCACCTCAGCCAGGACCTCACCGAGCCCTGCAGCGGGCCTGGCCGTACTGAGCTAAGCGGCTCCCAGTGAGCGATTAGGTACCATTATCCTTGCTTGATGTGAAATGTGTAAGTAAAACAGTCTAGTATCCTTTCTCTTAAGGTGATGGGGAAAGGCTGGTGTGGGACTCTCGCTTTCCTCGGCAGCAACTGTGCTCCCAGTGTGAACCCTGCAGTGCTGCGCTCGCAGCAGGTTGGACCCCAGGAGGCAGAGCGCTGCGTTCTTGTGTTTGGCCAGAGCCCATCCTGCCTCTCTGTAGGCAGAAATCTAGCATTCGTATCTTGGATGGCTATTAAGGGAGCTGAAAATATTTGTGTTACTAATGCGTTGCTTATGTTCACTGTAGCGGCAAGCACAGCGCTTCCAGGAAGCAGGGCTCCGCAGCACAGCCAGGAGTCGGCCCACGTGGCCTTGCTCCGTAGCCCACATCTTCCTGAGACTTCGCGGTATTTCTCTCTCTGCATCCTAGTGGCAATTCGTGACCTGGGAGGGGACATCCAAGCTCCCTTCTTCAGCAGGTGTACAAGTCTGTGATTGCTGCGACCAAACCCAGGTTGTCTACTGCACCCAGCCTCCCTGAGCGTGACAGTTTGTTAGCCTAACCTAGACCCTAAAGGCAAAGCTGGAGGCACCTGGAAAATGCCAGCACAGCTGGTAGCGAGCTGTCGTGTTTTATAAACCACTGAGCTGTCTGATAGCAAAACTGCCCTAACAGTGCTGGCCCAGAAGCCGCTTTCTCAACCAACAAGCCCTCGAGGAGCGTGACGCCACCACACGCTCATTGCTGAGCCATCGTCCTGATACTTCTCCTATGCACAGACCGAAGAAGCTGGAGCAGTTACCAGGGCTTCAGTGCTCTAACTTCAGCCTCTTTCCTCTTGCAGGGCCTGGCAGTTACACTGTGGGCACCATGTCGGAGCGCTTTGACTGCCACTACTGCCGTGACCCTCTGCACGGGAAGAAGTACGTGCAGAAGGAGGGCCGCCACTGCTGTGTCAAGTGCTTCGAGAAGATCTGTGCCAACACCTGCATTGAGTGCAAGAAACCCATTGGAGCTGACTCCAAGGTGAGTGCTTAAATGGGTGAGGAAAAGAAGACAGGCAAATACTGATAACCCTCCCATTTGTGCTCCTGGCTCTGGTCTGTGAGCTTCTGTGTGAAAAGTTCAGTCCTCTGGCTGACAGGCCCTGTGCTCCTTGGGCAAAGAGCCAGAGGCTCTGGGGCACTGCAGTAGGGACGCTCACGATGGGCTGCTTTTGCACAGGAGCTAATTTCAGGATCTAGGTTCAGCCACATGAACTGCTGCAAATGCTGAACTGTCCTGAAGAGAGTACCGCAGGTAATCCAGCCTGCGCAGGACGTGCAGAAAACTCATCTTCTGGGCAAAGGACTCGGGAACCTAGGGTCTGATTTTTGTCAGTTTGTCAAATGTTTGTTGCTTCATGCTGATGGCAATAATAATGTACACCTGACTGGAAGGGAACGTGACAACCAGAGACGCCTGTGCTTACAGAACCTCAAAACCAAAGCTGTTTGTCTGAAGCATCTTCTGCTACCCTGAAAGTCCAAAATGAATGTGATTCCAGTTAAGCCCCTTGTGGCAGTGAGTCTGGTTAAATGTCCTTTCCTTAACTGCTCGCAGATGAGCTGCACCTCCAACCACGGAATGCGGACATGCTTAGGAACTAACAAATCCATTCTTCACTGCCAAGGCTGATGAGGCTGTAGCTTGGTTTTAGGGCTGCTTAGCAAGAGAGAAGGGGTTATTGCTCACTCCATTTCTGTTCATTCCAGGAGCTGCATTTCAAGAACCGTTACTGGCATGACAGCTGCTTCCGCTGCTTCAAGTGCTACACGTCCTTGGTCAATGAGCCCTTCATGCTAAGGGAGAACAACAAGGTTTGGTGCAGCAACTGCACTGCCACTGTGGATGCACCCAAGTGTAAGGGCTGCTTCAAGCCTATCATTGCAGGTACTGGTGCCAGCAACACGGGTACGACTGCCGAGATCTGCTCTAGGGCAAAACCATGGAGGTTTATCACGCCACAGAGGCTGCAGTTAGGGGTACAGGCATCATAGTGGAAGGCTGGAGCACCACAAAATGGTGCAAGTTTTGACTGTTGCTCTCACCCGTCTGTGTTGAAAGGCTGCTTTGCAGTTAACCCTCATGTGGATAGTTCCCCTTAGTAGTTAGTCTTAAACCATTTCTACCAAAAGCTTTGCTCTGTGAATCAAAGTCCTCTTCTCAGAAAGGCTCAGGCATCTGCCTGACAAATATTTTAAGAAAATCTAGAAGGCCCTGGCTAAAGTCAGATACAGAAATTAACAGCTCATCCCTCACCCATGTTACAATTGAATCCTGGGCATAGGTATGGACAGGTCTTGCCTACAGGTATGTTACATTGCCGGGGGGGGAGTCTGTCACAAGCCTGAAATCCCACATAACGAGTTATTTCTGTCTGTTGTAGGAGACCAAAATGTTGAGTACAAGAAGATGGTCTGGCATAAGGACTGTTTCACTTGCAGCCAGTGCAAGCAAGTGATTGGATCTGGGAGCTTCTTCCCCAAGGGTGATGACTTCTACTGTGTCTCCTGCCACGAGCATAAGTTTGCCAAGACCTGTGCTAAATGCAAGAATGTAAGTCCTTCCACTTTGCAAAGGCAGCTGCCAGAACTAGCCCTCACATGTCTTTTGGAAGCTAGGAGAGCAGACCCGTAGACAGATCGTGCTGGAGCTGTACCAATACTTCTGCTCTCTCCTTGAGATGCTGGTGCTGTAGGATTATCTGATGGCAACTCTGCTGAAAGGCCTTGCACTTGCTTTGGGGATGGTTTAAGCTCTCTAGTAGGTATTGTGTATTCAAGCAGTAAACCAGTATTTTATAAAATAGCTGTTTTACAACTTTTGTAACTGGTTAGTGTAGAATTACAGAGTCATTGCAGGTAAAATAAACTATTATGAAAGCTCAGGCACGCAGGATTTCAGGCTAGAGGAACTCAAGCGCGCTGCACTATTTAATTTTAATGAAAACTTTCAAGAGATCTTCTCCATCACAAAGCCCTCCTACTCTACACCCCATGCCTGCATCACCTCTCCTCCCCCTAATGATTCTGAAACGCATCTCTGCTCTTTGCCTCCTAGCCCATCACTTCTGGAGGTCTCACTTACCAGGAACAGCCTTGGCATTCAGAGTGTTTCATTTGCTCCAACTGCAAGAAGCAACTGGGTGGGAAGCGCTTTACAGCTGTAGAGGATCAGTTTTACTGTGTTGACTGCTACAAGGAGTGTGTTGCCAAGAAGTGTGCTGGCTGCAAGAATCCTATTACAGGTAAGTTGGTTTAAATGCAGCTTGAGGGCAGTGGGTCCTTAAGGTCAGACCAGCGATCCCCAAAAACGTGCAGCTCAGAGGCTGCTAACACCAGAAGCAGGTCTAGTATCCCAAGCCCGATTCCAGCAGTTTACATGTGATCTAACTATAAGCCACGTGCTCTTGCTGGATGGAGTCTGAGTAACTGAGCTCTTCACCCTTGGCAGGCCTCAAACTTACCTCCTTCAAAACTTTCCCAATGAGAACTGTTCCCACCTATAGCTTAGTCTAGGAACCTTAAGTCTAAAAAGAACAGTGTTTTATTGGCCCAAAGTGACATTTGCTTTGCCTCTGATGTGTTTTACATGTAATAGTTACTGGATTACAAAGCTCAGCCCAGAAATGCGGGCACTGTCCTGCCAGTCCCACGGGACTTGCATTCCAGTCTACATTTTAGAGCATGGATCTGAAGCTGTAACAGCCAGGTAGGGTGTTTAGCCCAACCTGTCCTTGCTCTACATCTTGATCTTTCCTTCAGCTTGACTGTTTCCTGGAGAAGGGATCCAAGGGAAAAAGCTTCTTGCAGAGACAAGCCTGCACTAAGCTGCCTCTTTCTCTAAGAGCAGTAGTACTGAGCAGCAAACAATGTGCTTCAGTTGCAATTTTGGCTAGTATTTTAGGCATACAAATACAGTCTGCAAGACTACAGAAGCACAGGAGGCAGTAAGAATGGGATCTGCTGTTTGGTGGGCTAACCCAGCCAAGGGAAAAGCTACTATCGCCGTCCTATAATTGTTTTCTCTCCTAGCAGGATTTGGAAGAGGAACCAGTGTGGTTAACTATGAAGATGAATCCTGGCACGATTATTGTTTCAAATGCACAAAGTGTGCCCGTGGTCTGGCCAACAAGCGCTTTGTTTGCCATAATGGAAAAATTTACTGTGCTGAGTGTCCCAAACGACTGTAAGGAGCAGACAGCAACTGCTGTAAAATGGATTTTAGAGCCCTGCTTTCCAAAACAGTCCTGGTAAAGGAGCAGGTTTTTGCATGTTAAGAATTTTAACTTTTTCCATTTTAGTATAAAAACTAAAGTAGCCTCAGTATATACTGGGTTTGACTTCTGAAGCTCCTGCAGTACAAAAGCATGTAGCATTGCAAAAAAAGATCTAACTTCGCTTCCACATAATTCTTAGTGTAAAGGCTTGAAATGCCATTAGATTTAGCATTAGAGATCTACATACTACATAACCTGTGTGTGGCTTAAACTAAAACAGAGCTAGTTTTAAACTTGTCCGGTATACTTTTAAGCTTGGCACTTAAATGAAGTAAGTTTGACAAGGCATGCACCTCAGAAACAGAGATTGCACGTGGGATCAGAGAGATCCATTATTATGCTTTTACAAGTACAGGTACATTACATACATCACACCATTAATAGCAGCACAAGAACAAATACCTTTGCTTACCCTACCACACCAAATTGCAGCAAATGTATGGAATGGCTTCTTTTTACATATAACAATGTTTTTGCAGTACAATTTAGCTTTAGTTAAGTTTCCATAAATTACTTCTAGTCTTGATTTCCGCATGGTTTGCCCAAAAGTTTTGCTCATTGGCTTTTTTTACATCATTGTTTAAACAAGGCTGTCTATATACAATTATTAATACATTAACAAGAAGTAAATCTTTCAACTACAACAAAATGCACATGCACATGCATTTAGAAGTGCCTTTAAAATAGCTCAGACAATGATAGCTCTCCTATCATGTCAGTGTATGTTTTACGATTTAATAAAAATGAGACTAGTGCCTGCTTGGTGTCCCACAGTCTGGAAAATTGTTTTTTCACTTTGCCATCTTACACGATTGACACCTCTTATTGCTGAGCTACTGAAATCAAGTCTGATACATTGATACTGGCAAAGTAGAGAGTCAGCTGTTCTGCAATAGCACCTTTAAATATCTGAGGACCAAAGCAACGAATTTCCATAAACTGATAATTTTTTTTAATGTATAACTGACACTGGACCATCTGCCAAGAACAGCCTGTGTGAAAAAGCCCTTTGGAGAACATACGTATAGCCACTGTCCATACACAGATCTACTACTACCCTTCAGCAACCTGAACGCTGGTTTAAGTGGGTGTTTTTTTTTTTTTTACAGCAGTGGCTGATACCATACAGAAATATTTATCAACTGGATGCTGCTCTAGTCATTCCCTTTTGTTCACAAGCACCTCCCAGAAACAAAGCCCCCCTCTCAAGAAAAACAAAAGGCAGCACCTTGCTGTATTCTTGATGGTCCCTGCTCCACTGTGGCCATGGAGCACTGTTAGACTCACTGTTAGAACATGAAGATGTTGGTGCTACAAGTAAAAAGCAAAGGCTTACAGTAAAAAGCAAGTTAAAGAATTCAACAGTTATGAGCACGTCATCGGCATGTACAAACACAGCAAGATCTGAAGGTGTTAGTACAAATACCTTCCCAACCACACAAATGCAATTGCCAAAGAGGCTACTAGTTTTGGGAATCTGGAGTGTGGAGTAGTTAGAGCAGTACCAGAGCGCATCTCACAGCAGGTCAGCATGGCAAGGGGTTGGAGACTCCTAGTAAGGTAATGTTTAGCATTACAAAAATAAAGCATTGTTCGACTGCAAAGTTTATTTTAATAGTGTGCACATATTTACACAGAGCTGTAACAGACCAGTCAACAAATAATATCAGCATCTTTTTTGTTAGAATGATTGTCTCTGCCAGAATGAAACAGCTATCATACAAAAAAAAAAAAAAACCCACCATATTTCTTTTTACCTAAGGCACTGCTCTAAAGTCTAAAACAGTTCTACCATATTCTGAATAGCAAACAGTGAGAGTAAGAAGGCTGAGGGTTTCCTACTGTAACTGCGATGTCAAGGAAAGAACGCATTTAGTTCCAGCAAAACCATTTGCATTTAACCACTGAAAACACAGCTGCCATTTGGATGATTCATTTGAATTGAAGTATCAGCCAATGGTTTATAGCAGGATTTGAGACAGCTATTCTTTACAGTAATCACTTATCCAGTATATCTGTTACAGGAGACATAAGAACAAGACTGCATTATTACTTTTAGTAGCAATTTTCAGAAGATTTTCAGTTACTCTCTTCATGCTGTAAAAAGCAGGCAAGTTTAGGTTAGATTACTTCATGCAGGCTTTAGGGGAAGGGAAATATATATGCACCTTGCAGCCACTGTTATAAAGCTAGAACAGGAACATGTAGAATAATTAACATGAACAAAACATGACTTCAGTGGTCTAATACTGTTACGTACACGATAAAATAATACTTCCATGAGTGCAGATAAACTTAAATAAGTAATTCAAATGGAAAACATTTTTAAAAGCATGTCATGTTACACTGCACTACGACAGACATATCTAGGTACTCCACATTTTTGTAGTAATATTAGTGCATACGCTGTAAAATGTTTTGATGTTTTTCCAACAGATTAAAACATATTAGCAAAGGTACAATACTGCATTTTGAAACTGCCAACATTGTCACGGTAGAAAGTGAGAAATTTTTCTTCTCTATTCAAAACTGAAGACATTCAATTTTGTGTTTTTAAATAGCACGGGAACCAACAAGTAACAGCGTTCTAGAACATAACAAAGGGAGTTCAGCTTTAACACACACTGAATGAGTCTCTGACTTCATCACGTGCCATTTTAGGAATATGCAAAATCTGGCCAGCAGCTAACTGGGGAGTCTCCAGTGGCACGTTGCTGTACATGATACTGATACGAAAATAAAAAAAAAAAGACTCAGGTTACTGTAAACTCTGCAAAAGGGAAACAAGTGATACTTAAACAAGGAAATCTTATCTAACAATTAGCTGAATGAATGGAAAAGGAGCATCAGCACAATAGTTTCCCTGAAATGTTTCAAGGTGCAATCTAGAAGCTTGTCATCCCTCCCCTGGTGTGTTTTGTTTTTTGCAAACTTGAAGATGGATAAAGGTAAACAAGCAGCTTTTCAAAACAAGGCCTTCGGTACTTGATAAAACACTGAAGTGCAATCAGATTATTTCCAGGTCTCTAGTGTTCACAGTTCTGTCCAAAGAGCAAAGAGAAGAAAACATTTAACCATCATAACTGTGTGTATGCCACATACGTCTATCATCACTGTCACAGTCTACATCCAGGGAGCGAGCATTTCGTTACTTACAGTCCAAAACCAGCACAGTAGCTTTTGGTTTTTTATATACAAATATTAGTTTTCAAAGTTATGTACATAATTCTTAAACCATATTATGTCTAAACATTTTCAAGTTCAAAATTAAGAGGCAACACTTTCTTCACTATAATGATTTTGATCAGAAGAAAATGCGATCAGCAGTATCACGTTAAATCCATCTATTCCCATGGCCCGGTTAGTCGTAGCCTCAAGGAAAGCCTCAATAACGCTATGTCCATGGGACTAAAATTCATAAGACGCAGAGTGACAGAGGAGACTCAGGAAACAGTTCAGTCTAGAAAAGTGCTACACTTTAATCAAAAAATGTGCTACACATTGCTTAAAGAAAATGTGGATAGCAAGTCTTGTTTTTTCCACTACCATTCATTTCAACTGTTCACACAGTCATTTATCTCATGGAAAGAGATCTCCTGCTGTATGTCCATTTGGGGTTTAGCTCCAACAACAGAGAAGTTTAGTCTCACGTAAACTAGCTTACTGTAGCCTCTCTGACATGCTATGCTGTACTGCATTGTGGTTTGGCTTCTCAAGTACATGTGGATTCAGATGCAGCCCTGCTTCTTTCAGAAAATTATTTTCAGAATATTACGTGTGCAGCTTTATTACTCCTCCCAAAATATAACACAACCGTCTGTGGAATTTAAGGTTGGTGTTACCCCCCTCAGTGAAGTGGAAGACTATTCTACAGTAAGTAGAGAGGACAGCTAACACCTTGCCAGAGCCTGAAGAGACCTTGTAAGACTATGCAGGTCAGCATCAAAAAATTAGAGAACATGCGTAGGAGTGGAAAGTCTTGACTGTAGAGTTACATCAGACACCTTTTAAACTGTTAGTATCTTCAAAAGTAACATGTGCCATTTAAGATATCTTAGAAGCAGCTTAAAATACAACAGATGGGCTTGAGTCCTGGTAGGAGACAGAGGAGTTTCACAGGGTCTCAGCTGTGTCTTTGGAAGAGCCTTAATGTCGGGCCTTAGCTGCTGTCTAGAGCAAGTCCCTAAAAAGGCATCATTTGGTAACTCCTTTTGACAGAACGCAAGTTACAAACACTAAGGAAAGAGCCTTCCCTCCAGTCTACACATTGGAAAAACTGTCTTGAAAATAAGAAGCTGCAGTTAAGGCAAGGAGAGTAAAATGCAAGGAAGTTAATTACCTAGCCAGAAGAAGAGACAGATAGGGAAATCAGCTTGGATTACCTGATGAAGCATCTATAGGTTTGGTCAATGAATTCACTGCACCATCTTCCTCAAAAGCCAATTTGGGACTAGAAGGTATTGTAGCAGCATCATTCAAGTTTTGATTACAGTTACCAGCAGTGATGCTGTCCAAGCTCAGTTTGGTTGACTTGGAATGTACTCCAACGTCAATAAACTCCTCAAAAGTCCACGAACCAGATTTTCCATTAAGATTCTGAATGAGTCCAATTGTATGATCAGCTTCGTTAACACCCAACTTCACTGAGTCATTGATAACCATTTCTTTTGCAGGATGGCTAGAAAAAAAAGGAACGGATACTGGTATTACAATTTCTGCATGTTTAACCTTTAGATTGATTACAGGCCAGCCAATTAGCAGTCTGCATACTTTGCAAAGCACTGAAAGGCATTGCAAATGCACTGAAGGGCATTCCCAGACAAGGTCCTCCAGCTGCCACACAAGATCTCCTCTCCAAGAGCCAATGGGAAGAACAACTCACCAACATATAGCCACTTTTTACTATACTAATAGCTCTCAGGTAAGGTCTGGCTCCAGAAATTTGATAAAAGCAAGCAACAAGTTTAAAGCCCTGCACCATTAAAACCCTATTTTAGTAGTGTGCATTCTTCCTTTTTAATTTAGTTAAGACTTTTTAAACACAAAACTGAGCCTCAGAAGACTAGCAATATTTAAAACAGATTCAAAATCTAAACCCAAATCAGAGCGATCAATTTTCATTCATTCTTAAGATCATGAAAATATACTCCATCACTGGAGGAATGAGATTAATTTATCATCACTTTAAAAAAAAAAAAGAGTTCACAATGTCATTTCTAAATCATTAGCATTTAAATGAGCAAATGGAACAAGCATCAGAGGACAGATTTTCCAGTAGTAGATAGAAATGCTTTATGTTCAAAAAGATAAAATTTGAAATACTAATGGGAATTGTCTTTAAGGGAGGCTTTTGTGTTGTATCTGGTGTTTCAGCGCAACTGAAAGTGTTCTAAAGCTTTCTGTAGGTTATTCTTCCTTTTCAGCGCTGTCCCCCTCCCTCTTGTTTAATGTTTTTTAATGAAAAGAACTGCTTGCCATTTCAAGGGAAAAGATTTCAAGCCAATGCCATTCTTTATGAGTAACACTGCCACGTTGCTGGCTATGTGTCTCACTTCTTAGCAAAGCCAGTACTGTTAACATGGTGCCATCTAAACGAACAATTATCCCAAACTAACTGCCTCTGCGTGAAGCAGTAAACTGACAGCATGCACACACCACATGCCTGGACCAAGCCAGAGAAATACTACAAAGCTAGTGGGGTGCAAAATTTGAGGCAATGCTACATACAGCACTAAATTTTTAATTTAAACATACAGAGAGATTTCTAATGTGATAGATAACTGCTCTGACAATAAAGCAGCCACCTACACAGACTCACCTGCAATCCTTTAATTCAGTAACAAGTAGAGACCCCTCATCACTTTTCAAATCGCCTCCATTCATAAACACTTCACTGGCCTTCAATTCTGACACATCTTGCTCCTCAGATTCTGTAGAGATCAAGCTATGCGCAGTCTCTAAACAACCCTCTGCCTCCTCCTTGACTTCCTGGGCTAAGTCAATGCCATTTAGCTTTCCTGAAAGTGGGGGTAAAAAAAGGAAAGAAAAAACAAGAGAAAGGGCGGGGGGAGCTTCAGTAACAGAATTGCTATTCTAAACAAATAAAATACAAGTGCTAAAATGACCTCTCCTAGCCGAAACTCGAGGCACTTGGCTTCAATAGATTATTTCTCTATAGACAAGCTGCCTATAACAACATGAAATTTGTTTTCCATGTTAAAAAATACACTTGTAAAATGAAAGCATGCTGCCTGCACTTCACTCTCAAATCATTTTTGCATTTAATCATTTTGACTGGCTCTTGTGGTATGGAACAGGCAGTGATCTACTCTCTGTTCCAGCAGAGAGCCTCCCTCGCATTTCTGGGACTTGCGTCTCAGACCCTCACAATGCTATTACGTGAGCAACCTTTTTAACTATGCTTAAACATCATTGAGACACTGACTGCCACTTAGACCTGACTCACCCGGTTTCCTTACCTGGTTGATCAGTCTTCTCAAGACCCAACTCTTCCTCCTCTTCAATATCATCTCCCTCCATAGCCTCAGAGGCAGACTTCCCTTCATTCTGCAACTGAATTGCCGGAGTGTTACTTGGAGTAACTCAGTACCCTCTAGTGTTTCACAAATGGTTCAATCACAGCTCCCGTGCAGGACTAACCAGCAGTAAGGCCATGCTAGTGCAAAGGCTACGACAATCGGGTCACCCAGCAACACGTGTTCTGCTGAGCCAGAGCCTTACTGTAAAGGACCGTGTGGGACCCACTTCCATCTCCTACCTATGAACTATTCCTGAGTTCCTTTTCCCCTCATTTCTCCAAGGTGTGTGCTAAATACTTATTGATCTTAAGGTATATGAAGACTTGGGTCTTTGAATGTTCAGAGAAGAACAGCTACTCCTCAATGTAATATCCATAATTTACCACAAACCTTAGGTCACTACATTAACAAAAATACATCCAGTTTACTGTAGCAATCCAAGGGCCATCCAAGATTTGCTTTAAGCAAACAGATGAAGCCAGGAATTTAAGTTTTCGGGGGAAAAATAGCCCCAGCAGAATGCATACGGTTTAAAAAAAAAAAATCCATTATTACTAACCAGTGTTTTTTTAACCAATCTGCAAGTGATAATGCCAGACCACATTGTTTCTATATGCCTTGAACAAAAATGCATCAAAGCCTTTTTGGCAGAACAAGCAAAGCAGAAGAATGTGTGCAATGGGAAGCTACTGAAAATTACTCTGCTGCACCAGAACTTTGCACTTCACATGGAAGCCAGTTTGTGTAAGGGTAACAGAGGAAGACAGGATACAAGACAAAGCCTTCTCTGGGAAGGGCCTATTCTGTCATTAAACAGATCCAAACAAAAAAGTACCTTGGATTCACTTTGATCTGATTTTCGTGTTCTTTTCATTATTTCTTCGATTCTCTGTTAAAACAGGGAAAATATTTGCAATGACATACAGAGTTTTATATTTCAGCATTCTGGTTTAAATTTTCATAAAACATAATATCTTTTCATATTTCATAAACTTACTACTTTATTCACCATTTTTAAAGCTCACAAGCCAGAGCTGGCTTCTTTAAAAAAACACACTACTTCTATTTAAATGCATCTGAGAGCGTTTGCCTGTTCAGTTTAACACCTCAACCACTATTTTAGGCTGAGAAACCCCTCTGCTTTCAAAACAGTATACCTTTTTTCTTTCAAGCCTTTCCTGCATATTTTGCTGCATAATTCTCTCTCTTTCCAGCCGCTGCCTTTCAGCCTCTTCTTGAGCTTTTGCTTCAGCTTCTTCTCTCTGAAAATAAAACAAAAAGAAGACAACTCATTCCCAAGAGTCAAAAGCAGAGCTGTTAAAGAGATTCTGGTTCAACACAGACAGGAACATCAGACAATCACTATTTAATATTACCATACATTGCAGCTAAATGCCAATTACCCAGCTACTGACATGAAATATATATTACTGTGACATTCTGAAACTGATCTGAAAAGAAAAATGATGTGCATGGCTATATTGTGGTTATGCAAATGTTCTGAATGTTGTTGAACTACTCAGGGTTCAATCTATGCTTCAGGATGAAGATTTGTCTTAAGAAGCATAATTTATAAAGTAACAAGACAACAATTACATTTTAAACGTGGCAAGGTTAACTTAAAAATCTTGGCAGTCAGGTATTACTACCAAGATACTTGGTGCTGAACATCTTACGTTTCTTCTACACTGGAAAATCTTTTCCAGTATGACTGGAAAGAAGATAGAAGCATAGTTAACACTCTGAACAACTGTTAAAAACTTCAACAAGCTTTTAAAGAAATATTCAGACACATGCCAATGCCATCCATAAGATACAGCTCTTTAAACACAAACAATTTCATTGTAAAACTGCTTTAATTTTCAAAATTACTCTCATTTAAAGGAAGTCCACTTTCTGCAAAACAGCTTCTTTCAGTTAGAAGGATGCTTTTGTAACAGTACACAGATACTGGCTGTGGAAGACTATTTAGCAACCGGAAAAGCTGACGTGGAAACACTACCAATCTTTCTTTTAAAGGAATCAGAGCAAGCCAGATGACTTGCCAGACAGACCACCTCCCTATAATCCATAGCAGTAAGCTAGTACAGTGGGCTCAGTACAAATATTTTACGTATGCAAAACAGCATCCCAGATGGCTAAAAAAAATTCCAAAATATCTGCTTCTGCCCCACACTTGAACTTATCAAATGTTGGGGAGGGGAAAAAAAAAAAAATCACATAGACTAAAGCAAGGAAAGGACTTCAAGACATTCTCAAATCCATCTCAGACAGGATGAACTCTGCTTTACATCATTCCTGATAGAGATTTGTCAAAACTGTTCTGTGAAAGAAAATCAAAGACAACCTCCTCAAAAACATGTCAGCAGCTTGTATGAGGAACACAGTTGAGCCTACAGATAAGCAGACCTGGTGTTGAAGCTCTGCAAGTTTTTCCTGCTCTTCCTGTTCTCGGCGGATCCTCTCCTCTTCAGCTTGTCTTTGTTGTTCTTCATAAGCCAGTCTCTTTTCTTCCTCCTGCTTGCGGAGCTCCTCCTCCCGCTGAGCTTTTTCCTCAGTTGCTCTCTTGGCCATTTCTTCTTCTCTGATTCTAGTGTTTCCAAGATACAGATTACTGACTGGATATTTATTTCTTTAAAAGTGTGCATGCACATGAGACAGACGAAGAAAGCAAGAAAGTTAAGTTATCTGATCACAAAATAACTGCATAAAGATACTTTCTGGTGTGGATTTACAAATGCCACCATCCAGACCAGTCAAAGGAAAAAGCAGAATAACTTGGAAGAAACTACCTATGAGTACCTAAGTGTTCTTTGCTGATTAAGTCAAGGCCAAGGCAGGTTGCTCCAATAATGGAATGTTTGATTGAGAACTGGATTAAGTGACAACTATTTAATAAATACCACCTGCATCCATGACATGAATGAAGTTTTTAATCACTGTCAAACATAAATTTAGTTGGATTTTCTAAAGACTGTTTCTTCTACAGTCCGAATTCCAGAGATATACGGAGGTGTGCGCTGCCAGATCACACAGACGTACACAACAGATCTGATGTCATATTTCTGATAAAGCATCTATAGCAGACTACATGCAAGTTTATGACAGCTTTATACCCATGAGTGGAAAACAGACAAAATCTGATGTTCCATCATGTTCACAGAAGCACAGACAGGTGACCCCTGATCTGGAATAAAGTTAGTCAGCACAAAGTTAGTAATTTATTTTTAACAACTTCTATGCAGTGAACCAAATGCACACTGATTTATCACTTTGAATTACTTGGCTGCAACATTTCTGATCCAGATTTCGGATCACTAACATGAGATTTAATGTACCGTCAACCACTGCCCGAGTTCATCAAAAGAAAGTTTAATACAGGGAGGTTGACTGTTTCAAGACAAATACAAACAAAACAAATACAAGTGGTGTAAAAAGCACATTCTAGTTTTGAAATAAAAACACCACTGGTGACTGGAAGGAAAGAAAAGCAGTGATTTACACAGGGACTATGCATTACATATATACTGAGATACAGATTAATGACACACACAGCAACCTGTCCTGTCTTAAATGGTGCTAGTGCCTGTCTCTGCTTCACGAACTGCATTAAGATTTACAGGAACTTAAAGCTTAGGAAACATACACAGCTGGAGTGTCCACTCCAACCACAGCCCACCACTGGAAGCATTCCTTTCTTCTCCTGAACTGTTACCTTTCCTCCTCCTGTCTCTGAATTCTTTCTTGGTCTTCACGCTCTCTTTGCTCCCGTGCTAGACGTCGTTTCTCTGCCAAGATTTTAGCAGCTTCTTCAGCTGTGGTGGTCCCTGCTACTGTTTTGCTACCTGATTCTGCAAAAGTTAAAAGAAACTGCTGTTAAAAAGCCCCAGTAACTTAAAATTAAGAAAGATGTTATCAGTGTGAGATAAGATTTTTCTTTTGGCCAACTGACCCACTATCTTTTCGATCAGTGCTCATCACTCAGTAAGTATACCCCATAGCTAAAGGTCCACAAGAGCCCAAGAGGAGTCCTAAAGAGATGCAGAGCCACAATATCTCACTGACACTGAAATAACAACTCATTTCAACTCCAGTGATCCAGCCCTATTCCAGACAATACAGTTAAAGATACTCTCCAATTACCACAGTACTTAAAAACATGTTTCTGAAAAGACATGTTTATTCTAACATGCCTAGGAACACTTAAAAGGAAACTGGAAAAATACTGCTTTAGGAAATACTTAACTTCCTTCTAATAAAACTGAATGCACATGACCCTGAAGAGGAAATATTAATTTTTTTTATTTCTCTTGTTTCATAACATTATCATTCATGCCTTTATATTTATATATCTTAGGCTGCAAATAATCACCATTTTATCTGATCCTGAAGGCACATACTAATGACTTCAGTAATACCATATTTCTACACATTTTAGCAACAAATCAATTTCCAATTTACACGGAGATCAAAACAGCTCCGACCACCAGGTTAGCAGATATTTGTACAGTCCTGCAGTTTATGTTTCTTCATATCCTGCCCGGTGTTACGGTCTCTGAACATCAGCGATACTATTCTAAATTAACACTGGGACAAAAAAAAAAAACCAAAAACCCCTTGCCATGCAGTTGCTCTGAATATATACTGAAAGAACTCTGATTTTTATCAGTTATTCCCACTCTCTAGAAATATTACTGTCTGAATGTGACTTAAGAACTCACCATCTGAATATTCAGAGAATTAGCTCTTGGTGGCAGTAGAGCAATAGCATCATAACATTGACCTGCCTTTCTTCCTCTTAATATCATAGAATCGTTTAGGTTGGAAAAGACCTTTAAGATCATCCAGTCCAACCATTAACCTAACACATATTTCACAAATCAGCACATATATGTTTACTTAACATTTATAAAGCCTTCAAGTCAAGGTAATTTTAATGAACAATGACATCAGGGTTTGATCAGTTATTTTACTTCTGACCTAAAGACAAATCATTCAAAACACAATGCCACCATTAGGAACTTTAATACCTGAAAAGCTGCTTAAACCCCACGGGACACATAATCACTACCTGCACCCACAGGGCATAATTACACAGAGTAAACCCTCAGCAGCTGAATCATGGCAGTGTTTTGTGCATGAAAATTGTTCTTGCAGTCTTAGGAAAAGCATTCCAGCACTGATGGAGTGTAGTCACAGATAAGTTTTCTGATATTTAGATTTATCCAACACTGAAAAAGAAGCACCTCCCCAGAATACACATTGCTTGTGATTTGGGCAAAAATGCAGTCATGTTGGTACAAGCAAGAATCAGACATGACAGTTCCAAATTTGAACTCAGTCAAAAGAGGTCCTCCTCCTCCTCCCTGAGCAGGAGAGACCACTCCTTTGCAGCTATAAGAACCATTAACAGGATCTGCCTGCTCAAGATCTGCATGTGCTCTTCTTCCTATATTCTGCAACTTTCTTTTTTATTTAAAGAAAAGGAGGGAGGTTTCATTTAGTGTTGCCAGTATACAACCATGAAGAAACCAAAATGCCTCTCTCCTCCTCTACTACTTGAGCATCTTGCCAGTTTAGACTAGTCACTTTTTACAGCAGAGACCATCTTCTATTGTGCACTTGCACTGCAGCCAATGCAGCAGTCCTATTTAACGCTGCTGGAATCTCAGCTGTATTAAAATTGGTTGACACTTAATGTCAGGTTTAACCTATTTCCCCCCTTCAAAACTGAACCTAAATAAGACAACTTAATCCTCAGCAAGAAGCCTAAAGGTTTTAGTCTTTTAGGTTATAGGGTTATAAAGTGATAATGATAGCTTGAAATATGATGAATATCTGGTATTGAAAATGATAGAAGAAAATTAGTCACAATGATTCAGAACACCGCAGATATGGAAAGAACAGGAGGCATAAAAACAAAAGAAAGGGTAGGAGACCTCAAGTCTCTGGGGGACCTTCCCATTGCATTTTCACTTTTGAAGCTTTACTGATGTTTTCCATATGGTTACTTCAATAATGCTTTCACCTCCATGCACCCCTTAGACAGTCTGTTTCCATAGGGCAGGACATGGGACTTCCCAACATGATTGCTAACATGCCTTAAGATGATTCTTCCAGCATTTCATACACAGCTCCATTTTCCTTGTACTCCACTGTCATTCCTGATAAGAACTGTCTTCTTCTCAAAGGACCTTTTTGTGATGGAAGGGGAAAGAGGGAAGCAGGCAAGAGAAATGTCTCAGAACAACTGTAAAATGTACTGTTAGTTGGATGGAGGGAAGATTCCAACACATTTCAAGGCAAGTAATTTATTCACAATTAATCTAGGAATCACATTCCAAAGCCTTCACTACCCAGATACAAAAAAGTAAGGCTCCATGATAGTTTATTACCTATCATCACACATAAGGTGAGAGCTCATGAAGGAGCACTTCTTATGCTTTAAGTTGAAACAAGCCTTTTAACTCTCAGAGAAGCTGCAAAAGGCTGCTGCCAGAAATTACAACTGCTCCAAGTCACTGAAAAATAAAAAGTGTTTTACTGCAGAACAGTGTATTTTAGTAAGAAGACAGAAAAAACAAGACAAAAACTTGATTGCTGTCTGTCAGCAATGGGCAATCAAGTTTAGTTTGAAGGAGAAGAGATGGTATGAAGATACGAGTGCACAAAGCTGAAATTAGGTTGAACCTACAAGACCTAGAGACTGATTTGCCACATGCCATTCATTGGTGCGCTCTGACTTCAGAAGCTGTCTGGAATATGGTATTGCACCAACCCACAGGGTGAACTGCCTACGCAGACATGTAAAATAAAAATTGCCTTGAAAACTGAAAGCAACTTTTTAAGAACAAAGATTTTCCCTCACTTAGCAATATTGCAGTGTACCAAAACATTCAAAGAGATAAATGAAATAATCTCTGTGCTGAAGAACATGCCCACTATTTCCTTATCTTCTATGTGTCAAAGAAAAAGAGCTTCACCAGACCCAGTATGAATCAGTACAAAGATGACTAGCTTGGAGGTTAGCAGTAAAATAAAATGGAAACAGATAAACTGGGCTGATACAGTTCCAGAAGTCAGCGTAGAGAGGAGACAGGTGGGGCATCCAAGGAACAAGGACAGGCGTTCTTGTTCCAGAACAACTGGAAGATACAGAAATAGGACACATTGTTATGGAGGTTTCAACCAACCAATGACATCGATCACAATTGATTATGCCCGCTCTGAGGCATGCAAGACATTTATCACAGTAACGTAGCACATCAAGGGATGGACATTCTGACTGCAAAGATAAATGAAGTGACACCGAAGATGGATGTGCAACTTCATACAAACATCCACATTTGACTATGACATCCAGGCTTCCTTCTAGAGGAACACATGCTCAAAAGAACTGTACCATAAAGGAGTTCTTCAGCTGACTAACACTATTTCACATCCAACATCGAGCAGTGTCAGGAAGAGCCTCAGAAGTAACAGACAACTGCAGCAGCTGAGTAATGCAAAACAGGAACCATACATGCAGCAACATGCAGCAAGCGTATGTTCCCACTTACCTTGTGTCTGAAGGATTTTCACCCCCAGTACTGCCCACTGGCTGTAGCTTAAATTCCAGAGATCCCTCCTTTTCCTGTTAAGTCTCCCCTAAGTCCTTCTCCACAAAGAAGTGCCTGCCAGACCTTATCAGAAGGCTCTCCCAGATTCTGTTCTGGAGATGGCATTCTTCCAGTAAGAGGGATAGAGGCTGTGCTTACTTGGCACGATGAAGAGGGCTAGGCGACTAATTGCTTATCCAGTATATGGCTCTCCTTAATCTACCACGATAATTACTCAGTGTGACCTGTGAACTGACCACTTTTTCCTGAGGCAGCAATGATTATACATTCACTGGAATCGAGACTGTGGCAGCCTTCTAGCTTCATGAAAACTGGCTCTCAGCCTGTGATGCACCAGTAGCTGACTTCTTCCTCCAAGCAGGTCTCTACACAAGCAATTTTAAGAACTACCAACAGGACTGAAAGACCTTTGCGTAGTTTAACTATTGACTTTGCAAACCTAAGCTAGTAGATCCCTCAGCTAGTGTGGCTGAAGTCCAAAAGGCAAACAGGATTTCTGCTTTTCTTAAAATTATAGTACAAGCAGTAATACTGAAAGCTCCTAACTTAAATCTCCAAGTCAAATAAACTGCACTAAAATCCACACCCAGAAGTCATACCACAAAAAATTGTTGTATAAATAATCAGCAAGGACAGCTTGTGCCTTAAAGCATCCTACCCTCCAGTGGTCTGCCTCACAAAAGAATTATTTCACCAGTCCTAGCACACACTGGAGATGTCTTGAATGCATCAGTTACTGAGAAACACTCACCTTCTTTGGTCTTTGTGCTAGCTGCTACCGCATCCCTGTCCAAGGCTGGTGAAGCACCTTGCTCTTGTCCTGTTCCTTCCGTGCTCTTATCCTTTGGTTTGCTCTCTGCTTCAGTTTTCTTTTTGGTAATGTTTATAACACCTGGTGTGAGAGGTGGACGTTGGATGGGTGCTGGTTTAGAGACCGGAGTAGGAGATGGTGGCCTTTGTTTTGACACGCTAGGCGAAGGTGGGCGAGTCTTCTGTCTGTTGAAATAAAGAGTATTTTTCAGGGCTAACACTGAAAACCTCAAACACACAACTAAGGACAGCAGTCTACTTTGGTTAGTTTACATTATGTACCTCACTTTTAAAAATAAATCCAACCACAAACTACTCGTGCCTTCCTCATAAAACTCAAGTACAGGATTCCAAAATATCCTGGGCACCTGGACTTGCTACTTGTGGGCTAACATCAAAACAGGTCTGCTAGCCCAGACCTCCGTTTACTCCACATCAAGGATGAACCCTGTGATTCCAATCCAAGAAACTTCCTACACCGATACAGGCAGATCAGCTTACTCAGAAGCTCGCATGCTTCCTGTTGGTTTTAGTGCACAGATTGTACAAAAAACCAGGGTGTATTTTGTCTGCACAAAAGAGACAAAAGGTTCAAGAGCTGCATCCCTACTGCGGAAAAGAGAAATTGGACCAAAAATGAAGTCCTTATGTGTATAAACATGGCATAGCATAGGTCATCCAAATTCGAACAGAACAGCTGCCTTGAGACAGGAAGCATCCCTCATTTTGTTCTGAATAAAAGAAGATACTTAATGTGGACGCGTACCTAACTGTAGAAGGTGATGGAGGACGCTTCACCAAATTAGCAGGAGAGGGGGATCTTCTACGGGCAGACACAGATGGCGAGGGAGGGCGTCTTAAACCAGAACCTGTGGACGGTTTTTCTGTCTCTGATTTCTAAGACGACACATGAAAACAAAATAATGCTCACTCTCTAGAATACCTTACAGACAGAGGAGCTGCTTGCTAACCCAACAAACATACAACTTCTCAACAAGATGTACTTTACATTTCCTTTATGTTCCAAAACACAGACCCAGTCAATACGTTACCTAAATTAAACTTTGGGAACCATAAGCAGCAGACAATATGCCTTTAAGATACCAGAGAGATCAAGGACCATAAAATCCCAATTTGATTTCAATACTGTGTTTTTTAAGCAAATGCTACTGAACATTTCAATAAGCAAGCAAACTGTTGAAACAGGATCCCATCCTGAGCTGTTCCAAACCCCCTGATTAATAAAAACCTAATTCCTGTGGATTTTCAACAAACCTGGGTTGAATCTGGTGAACTTGCATCAGACGAAGATACAGAGGACTTCAATCTGTCGATGCTACGACTGCGCACGGGCACTTTAGGAGTTGGGACTGGGGAACTGATGGAACTGGCTGAAGCTGAACGAGGACAGAGGTGAGATTCTATAAAAGTTAGGAATTTGACAAGACAAAACGAGAACCAAGTGCACAGCATAAGAACAGGAGAAAAGGAAGAGGGAGAAAGAGAGAAAGAAAGATTGTGTGTGTTAGAAACCGTACAGAGAAACACCACAGGCAGCGCACATTGCAATGGGTCACGGACACAGACACCGCCACCACATGATTAGTACTTTGCAAGCAACAGCACCAAGAATAAAACCATTCTGAAAGCAGCAGTCTGGAGTAGATAAAAATAAAATGCTTTTCCAAACAACGTCTAAATTTGCAATACACCAGTGTTACTTTAATTTCAGTCAAGCTGCATCTAATCACAAATACTTCAGTTTGAACGGCTTAGCATCTTTCTTTACAAGTTCTTCATGACAGGTTCAAATTTTAAGCACGTTTGCCCCATACTCAAGGAGGAAATCCTCCTGCTTTTCAAAGAGTATTTATAAAGCAGCATTACATTAAGAATCTGAGTATTACTTCACAAACTTTTCTTGTGAAATAAGTATTTGTGCAACATTATGTTTTCCTCTGTTCCCTCTCTGACCCCTTTATTACTATATATGCGTGCCCTTTATCCACATTAACAAATCAAAATAGGTGGTGTAAAAGAAACCTATCAAGAGAAAAAGGCCAACTGTTAAACTAGAATACCTTTCCTACCTGAAGCGTCAATCTCTTCACATGTAAGATGTTGAAAGAAACTGTATCTTCTAATTACTTTTTTTACCAACATAATCACAGGTGGATAAGCATACATAGATGTAAGAATCTACTTCTGCAACTATTGTTTTTTTCTATAGTCCGAATAAATTGTGACAGATGCCAGCACTTAGTTTTGTAACTTTATGGAAAATACATTTTATTTTTATATTTACAGCATTTGTGCAAGGAGAACTGCATTCTGTTTGTGCATAGCTTGTGCTAAAGCACAGGTATGTTTCTACTGAAATGAAGAAAGTGCCTCTAAGTAAACTGATAAAAATGTAAAAGTTATCTTTAATTCAGCAATAGTGAGTAAGTCACATGCTGTCAGTAACAGCGAAAAAGATGGTATTTCCCCACATGACATGAACTGAAGTATTCATGGTAAAATAAAAGCGGCACATAGATAGGTGTGCAAAAATATGACCATTGACTACAAACCAAAAAAGTGAAAACTGATTATTACACAAGGGGAGCAGTGTAGAAATGTCACCATTACCAACACGGACCAAGTTAAGTGGCGTAAGATAAAAAATAAAGATGGCATAACATACTTAAGAGGAAACAAGCAAAACTGGGAACGCAAGTTGTAAGGTAAGAGAGGAGAAAGGACTCCACATTGGTTCCAGATATGCATTTACTAGGGCATTAGTACAACCAATAACAACTATAAGACATCTGGGATGCAGCTAGGGCTTACCCATGATGCAGAGATTCCTGCGCTGGTACTGAGTTGAGCCACAGTGTGGGCTTATCAGCTCAGTCCGGACCAATATAAAATTACTTCAGCCAGCCAGGGCTTCTCTACAATATCTTCTCCTTCTAGTATGCCTCTCCTTCTACAATCAGCCTGAGTGAAGCCAGCTCAGGGCTCCCGGTACTTATGTTAAGATAACTCCTTTGTCATGTTCCTACAAGAGTTTCTCTCCCTAAAGAAATGTAGGCCTTGCACTTTTCAGCCTATTGGCCTCCTTTGAAATTACATGTTTGTTTGGGTATTTTCCCTTTCATTTCCTAGCACTGTTCTCTGACCATTATGTCTCAGATTGGTTTGAGGGTACACCCAAATGCAGATCTCTGTCAGTTAAAAAAACAAAACCACAAACAAAACCCAAAACGAACACCAACATCTGGTTCACTTCAGAGCAAGTAAACTGGCACTGGTGTTTAAAAGCCAGTTTTATTCTACGGTTTTGTAAAATAAACACCCAACATAGCATATGAATTGGTTATTACTGACCAAAGAAAATACTGGATAAGTAGTATTATACATAACCATATATTATCTGCCTGATTCATACTGAAGTGTAGCACAGTTAGCGACTATCATGTAAGTTCTTGCTTGAAGAGCAACTGCATAAAACTTTCAGGCTTTGCTGCCCTCCTGTTACCTGAGGGATCTTGTCCATCAGCCGATAATGTAGCAGCACTTTTACTCCTAGCTAAGGAGGCCTGTGTGGGGGCGAGGAGGCGACTGATTACGCTACTGTCCAGAGGACTGAGCTGGGAGCGACGAGCTAAATGATGGGAACAAATCAAAAAGGATCCAACATGAAATCATATAATGAAAGAGACAAGCAGTACAAAGCAAAGGACAACTGTGAGCATTGTTGCAAATTTTAACAGTTTTGGAAGAAAAATACTGAAGTCATGGAGAGGGAAATCCGAACTAAAAGCACAGAAGGGTTAAACACTGCAATCTCTTCTGTTGCACTTCTTGTCCTCGGTTTGCTTAATACTAATCATTTTAATGTGCAAAGACTGGCACACGTACAACAGAAATGAATGCTTGAAGTCAGTCAAAGTATGAAAAGTTTTTGACCCGGCTCTTCGGAGATTTATTCTCTAGACTGCAGGAAAGGCTATTCTGACATAATAAACAGAAGACTTGCAAGTCAAAGCGAATGGTTATCGTCAGGCATCATTTGCACGCACAAATTCACATGGACAGCACCCATCATCCTCCCATACAGGAAAGATTCTGAAGCAGAATATAATTTCCACTGTTGGCAATAGCTGCTAAAAAGGAAAGTTTCAGAATTGTTAACTCAAAGGGAAAAACTTCTTAGAAAAGTTGCTAGTCTTCAGCTTTAGGAAGAGTTCCTAGAAAACAAGTTATTTGTAACCTAGTGGGGAATACACAGACCAAAAGAGACTGAAGTGAGAACAGATTTCTTCCTTCATTTGCATGCACAAAGTTTAGGCTAGCAGCAGGAACAGAGAAGTTGCTTTTAAACTGAATAATGAAAGAGAGCTTAAAAAGCAAAGGTAAGATTTAACTAAGAAGTGAATATATCAGTCACATTTTTACTATATCTTATATTTAAGCCTACCAGCTTTCAAGTACATCTCTCTCTTAAGCAGAGAGACATTTTCCTATCTACTTACAGTGCCATTTAACAAAGTCAAAGGCCTTCTTACAGGATTTCTTTTTTGTCCAAAGAGAGAAATTTAACCTTTACCATTTATAACTTTATCTTTACCACTGGATAACTAAAAAGCCATTAAAAAGTCCTAAAAATTTAAGAACCAAGGAAACTAATGAAAGTAACCCTATCCAAACTTTACTATGAATGGCTTTAAAAAGAAATATTCAGCTTTATGAAACAACCACCTGTTTTTTCTTCCTTTTTCACTTTTTCTAGTTCTGGAGAGGATTGGGGTTTACTACTCATTCTATTCAAAGATGTGCTCCTCTTCTTTTCTGTTCCTCCTAGAGACCAAGCGTAAGGAAGATTATTTTTAACAAGATATTTATATACATGATTTTCTAAACTACCATTCCCATGCTTTGCTTTTGCCAATCAGCTAAAACCACCGATCTATCATTATGAAGCACTATTTTCTCATGAGCTAAATGGTTTGACTACCATCTGTCTACTCTCCCCCCACCCTTCTACTTTTCAGAGGAATAAGGCTGGTTTTAGACACAGTTACCCAATATCTGGCACTGCAATGTGCATAATGATATTTATGCCACAGTGCATAGACTACATGCACAGCAGTGAAAGCCCAAGTAAAAATATTCATAATGAAACTGGGACGTGGTTTAAAGTCAACTTCAAATATCCCATTTACTGCCTCCCAATTCTCAAAACAAACTGGTTTCTAGCACCTTTCTGTTCCACCTGCGAACCTTTGAGTGCTGACTGCTGAGAATGTAGAGGAACTTTGTTATTCAGTCTGTTTAATGAGGCACTTCTCTTTGTGGTACCTGGAAGTGAAAGCGCACAGATTAATTTTGTTGAAAAGCCTAAAAATCCCCTCCAACACCTGCCCCACTTCCCTAAGATACAGAAAAGTAATTAAGTCACTTTCTATTACGAATCCTTCAGCAACAGGAAAACTGGACCAGGGAAGAATTACTCTATATAAAGCATGATCTCTTATATTCCTGTATGTTACTGATCATAGCAGCAGGATGCCAGTCTCAGCAGACCTCTTGTTTGACCTACCAAGGCCATCCCTGTATACCTTTTTAAATAAATAACTGGAAAAGGCCATTGCTCCCATTCTGTATGAGTAAGAGCAAGAAACAAAGTGCTCAGCTCAGAAATAACAAAGATCACAGGTGATTAAATACTCCGCTGATCCAGGGACAAGCGTCTTCCTCTCAATTCTGCATTCTGCTCCTCCATCTTCCCTGGCACATACACACAGCAGAAGCAAACTGGTTAATTCTGTGACTGTATTTTCTGTCATTTGAATTAAGCCATCATTTACCAAACAGCCATTTCTTCCTGAGTGCCGGATCAAGAGCATAGAATGGCTCTAACTTGCTGTGGTGATCTAAACGAGTTAGTTAGTCAATCTCTGTTATCACTGGAGTCCTGTTCAAATTTCTTCTATTTCAGCCACCTGAGAATTTTTCCTCCAAAGCAAACAAGGATTCACAAAGGATTTCAAGGTATGACAGTAAGTTTGAAAGCAATCCCAATTAGTTGATAATTAGCGACTTCCTTTGTTAGCGGCTTAATTTGTACTTTACAGCCCTGTTTCTGACTCATACACAGAGCTAAGCCCTGCAGACACATTATATATAAATATCATTTTAAATCCCAAGCAGTCTCCAGTGACTCAGAGGCCCTGCAGCTATGCCAGTATAGATATATTCCCTGATTCCCCTACCAGGCATACAGTGTATAAATACAAGTTTTTCTGCTGCATCACCTTCCAACATGAACCAGCAAAATCACTGTTAGCAGTGTCCACATTAGGGATTCTTCTAGCACAGCTCATTTGATCAAAGGTTGTAGACTGACAGAAGACTGCAGCACAGACCTAGTTGAACTTGTTTTTGTATTAAACAGCTCTTGGCTTATTAATGCTTTTCATCATTTTGGGAGAAAAAAAATACATTTGGCACTCAGGCAGGCTCCTATGGGAAGATTTCCCACAAGGAAATTACAGGCTAAAACAAGCTGGTATATGCTCATGCAAATAATTTTTATTTTTCTTAACAAGTAGATTAGGAGAATTCCTTGCGTTTTGTCTTTTGTTTATTGATTTGGAGATGGCTGATAGCCACGATTTACAGAATGACTTTGACCTAACATTCTGTAAGGTCTGTTTCACATTTCCTCTCTATAAGTAGCTTACATGTATCAGGACAGGGCAGAGGGAAGGAGGCAGAGGGAAACTCGCACATACAGGTTTACCAGAGAGTGGGAAAACCAGAGATCTATCCCATCCTCTGCATCCTTGTTAAGACTAGTTGGGTGGTGTGCATTTAAATATGACACGCTGCAGTCAGGAGCTTCAACCACCCCAAAGTTACAATTCAAAATGAGACTGGAAGCCACAGAAATTGGCAGATGATCTCTAGAGTGCAAACACTCTCAGAAACCCTTAAAAAAAAAAAAGAAATTAAAGAAATAGTTGGCTTCCAGGCCATTTCTATTCCTTGATAGTCACTGGCACAGTAAGTAACCCAGAATGCTTGCAAGCAGTGGTGAGCACTAACAATTTAAGAAATGCATCATTTGAGTATCAGTGTCAAGATTACACTAATTTATTGGGCTAGGAAATGGTGTCAGAGCTGCACGCTATGGCCATAATCATGATAGAACTCCAAGTCAAAACAAAACTATCTCCTCCCACCCAAAAAACTCCCACAGGTGTCAGAGCTTTTCATGCATCCCTCTGTATTTGGTTAAAGCAGAACTCAATATTAAAATGTGTGTCTACAGAGCACAGGACTGGCACAACAGAAAGATGTCAAAACTAAGTTGATTTTTTCCTTCCCAGAGGCAATCAAATGACTGAAGCTGCCTAACAGAGCAAGACAAACTTAATTTTTGTACTATTTGTATTTTGCTGAAATTTTAGGGTGTGATTTAAGGCATGCAAACCCCTAAAGATGATGTGAAATGATTTGTGAATCGGTCATTCACCAAGATTTGACTTTAGTAAAACAATTACAGAAATAAAAAATAAAAAACCAGCAATCTTTACCGTTACTCTTCTCCTCTAACAGAGATCACATCAACTGGGTCAAAGCCCTCAACAGTCAAGCTGGATTAACAAATTGCATGAAATGCATTTGAGATCAAAATATGAAGTGAGTTACAGAGCAAGGGAGGAAGAGGAGTATCATTCCACCTCCTGTCTCCTCCCCAAAGAACAGTTAAGCAGTACACCTGCTACCAGCAGACTCACAAACACTTACTTCGATCAGAAGTGTTTAAAAGCGCTGCAGACGATGACAACCGTTTATTCATGACAGCTTCTGTCTGTTTGAGGTTTGCTGTGGAGGTGGACCGCTTGCTGGCTGTGCAAAGAAGCGCTTACTTTAGAATTCATACCTGAGGAAGAACCTTTCACACATTGCTGTGAGCTAACTTTGGAAGTATTACATCCTGAAAGCTATTTCCAGTTTTGCTTAATGAGAAACAGAGATACTTTTTCCCCCCCCTCCGAACAGACTTGATACAGTTAGCACCAGTTGTAATGTGCACAGAAAAGGCATTTAGTTTTAGTGGAGTGATGCCAAGATTCTAGGCATAGGTATGCAAACAGGTGATTTTTAAACCCTGTGCTCCTAACATATAAAGACAAAAGCTACTGAGGTGGTGTGTTGTTAACAGACTGGCAAGACAGAGAAAGTAACAACAAAACCTGAATTACAATAATTTCTTCACAGAGGTATGTCAAAACAGTTTTTCAATCACTAGTCAACAAAAACAGAACAAAACAAATGCTGTTGGAGGTATAAAAGCAAGGCCTGAGGAAAGGCCACAAAGCATTCCTATTTCTGATTAGTTCCCAAGGGTTGCTCTGACTATTTTAGAAATTTCCCATTTTTTTCAAAAAGCTACTCCTTAAGTTCATGTTTCCCATCAATTTTGCAACTCTTCTGAAAAAAAATTGCCACAAGAGGCAGTAATTATTTTTTCTATGCGTATATACACACACAAACATATGTACACACATAAAAATCACATCTCACACAGCAAAATTTCAAGTTTACTACAAGCCAGATAAATACCCACTTCTTAATTTCAAATAATGTACTTTCAGGATGAACACTACTCCAGAGTGTGAAAGCCTTGGAAAAGCATGTACCTGTTGCTATGGAAACTCAGGAAGCAGCAAACAGTAATGCACACACGAAGTAATGTGGACTAGCGTAATAAACACAAGAAATTCTATACATCAAACACAAGTAATCAATTTTGCTGGCATATTGGACAGCAAAGATGATTAACGTAAACTCATTAGTGCGTAAGTACCAAAGGAAAAAGCAGCTCTACTCACCACAGAGGCAGCACCTTTTCCCTTTGGCCAGCATGCTACAGCAGCTCCTTATAGCAAGAGCCAGGACGTAAGGATTCCTATGGACAGCCCTGCCTCTGCATCGTACTTTTGACACATGTACCCAACCCAGGCTTCCTGAGCTAGGGGCCTCCTGCAAAACCATGTCAAGTGAAAACCAGTTTTTGGAGCTGAAGCTACAAAAGTGGCAAGCTCTTCTCACAGTGAACAAGAACAAAGTCCCCACGGGGTAAGAGGGAGAAAGGGGGGGGGGGGTGGGGCTGTTGAATCCAGTTAAGAAATGAAGATCTGAGCTTAGCAGATACTTCCCCAACATAACAACAACAAAAAAAAGGCAGGCATTTTTTGAATTAAGCCAGAGTACTGGGATAACTACAACAGCCTTGAGAGGTTTTATATACGAAAATCAGGAAACGCATAATACATGTATTTGGGTGTTTTCAAAGGAAAAGACTACCCTCTAGCGTCTGTTCTCAAAAAGAAAGCCTGGCTCCTGCCAGAACTCAAGCGTGCAAGTCAAAGGCCTCCAAACATCGTGAAGATGCTTCATACAAATTTCTCTTTGTTCAAATTAGCACTTGCATGAAATCTGAGACTTGGTCCATCACCTACTAAGACCCAGAGGGCAGAAAATTAAATCTTGCCTCAAGGAAAACAACACCGAGCAAAGTAATTCTTTTCCAGCAAGTTTACAAGTTCTGGAGATGGGCTGTGCTGTTCAGTAAAAAGACAAGGGATGAAACTTCTACTAGAAGATTCAAAAGAAAAAATGACAGTCTATATATGACTGTTCAAGCAAAAAACAAATATCAGGTTCTATTTTACAGGGAAACAGAGAGCAGTGGTGAGAGCATGAACTCATTATCTCATTTGATACCTTGACTGAAAAAATCTAATTGGTAAAGAATATTCATACAGATATTTGAGTTTTCTTTTTCCAGAAAATTTTAAGATCTTAAGAAGTCAGTGCTTTCTTGATGAATACATTTGCAAATGTATGATCAGATGGCCTCAAGTTTTTCCCTACCTGAACCACAAGATAGCTTCTGCAAACCTGAAAGCTATGGACAATTCACTAGGAAAAAAAGCTTTAGAAGACAAACAGGTATTCTCAAGTAAGGTAGTCTGGTTACGCAGGTAAATTACTCTTTTGTATTTTGGGGTGAAAGTTAAATTACTTACATCAAGGGATTCTAAATGGAAGAAGCATATTAACATAGTCCGATGCAATACCAAATGTCTGTATTGTTTTTAATGGAAAGGGGAAAGCAAACTGTGGCAGCAAAGCCAAATAGAGCATATCACTGCCATGCAGCAAGGCCTGCAACTGGGTAAGATACTGGGTTTCCCAGCTCCTTAAGAAAACCGTTAATCAGAGAGCGCAGCTCTCAACCTAGCTTCTGAGTTTCACTGAGAGGGGGTGCTGGAGCACTGCCTATCTGAGGCTGGATAAAATTAGGCTAAATAAAATAAGATTATCTATCTCTTAGTTCCTTCCAAATTCCTACTAGGACAAGGAAGCTCTTTATTTAGAAAGGAGAGACTCTGGAAGCCCAATTTCTATTCTAATAGCACGTCTCCACTACAGGTGCACCTGAACATCTAGTTTTGCTCAGCAGTCACCACTAAACCTCCCTCATTTACAAGGACTCTGTCATCAAGGATGCTTTATGACACAGCCTTGCCATTTCTCTTGGCAGACCCACACCCTGCATGTTTCTTCTTGGCACTGACAGCAATGTCATTAATGTAACATTTGACTCTGGGGCTTTCATCAATTTTAAAATTTCAGGCCATCAGCGGGGTACTTGGTGCAGTCTCAATGAATCACATTCTGTACATAATGCAGAATAGCTGATGGTTGGTGAAATGTTCAGTTACTTGAGGTTTACTTTCCTCAGAGCACACTACCTCTATCACCCACAAATGCTGCTTTACCAGTCAATGTTCCTAAACATTACTGTTGACACAGCCAGTTCATGGAAGAATGTGTCTGATTTTATATTTTTTTTGTACAGCAATACAATAGACAAGAAAACCTTTAGTCCTAAAATAATGTAAAGAATATTTGAAATCTGTTCCCCCAATGGTTTTCAGTTTAAGAAATGGAGCCTTTAATCTCAAATCTGCCACAGAAACTGATGGTGGAAAAATAATGCTGTATTGAAATTTGCTCTAGATGTGCTGTTAGAGAAGGTGCGCTGCTCAGCCACAATGACATAATGTAGCAGAGCTCATATGGTGTCGTTTTTCAGAAATCGAAAAGTAATTGTTGTCTTTCCAGCACTTATGCAAACATGAAGTGAAAGGGACCAAATAAGGATTTTTTTAGAAAGCCAGCTAGACTTAGGCATTCTACATGGTTTGGGTAGATTTTAAATAACAATTAAGTGAGGAGCTTCCAGAAAGTTAAAAGGCTAAGGACGATCCTGAAATGGGTATAAAGGTGAATCACATGAATCCAATCATGATTCCACATTATCCAGCCCAGGTAAGACAGCTGTACGCTTGAAACCTCAATGTAATGATGAACACGAATTTAACAGTGTGGATGCACAAGTATCTTGGTCAAACACTGCATTATCTGTTTATCTCCACAGTAAATTTTTTTCAAAAATGGTGCAAAGTTATTGAAATTAATAGGCAGTAGCTGAACTTATCTGCTCCTCCTGTTGTTATTTTATGATGCATAAGGTACAGCTTAAGTGCCTATTTTTACATTAGGACCATGTTTGTTGGAAGACACTTTATTTTTAATGCGCTTCAGCAGCACTGCGGTTCAAGTCTTCCTCTACGATCAAAAGGACAGACAAGACTCTTTTCCTCACATAAATGAGGAGAGCGCAAAGGACATTATTTTATGTTTGTTATAAAGTTTAGCTTTAAAATTAGATAAGGTAAAAAAGAATAGAGGAGAAAAAACCCAGTGCTTTCCTAAACATTTAAGGCAAACGTGATTTCCTAGTTTCAAGGTTAAATGACATTTGGTAATGTGGAATACAGTAATTGGATTTATATACATATCCAAGGAACACATGTTAAACAGGTAAACCAATCCAGTCAAACTGGCTAATTTTGGAGAAAATTAGGGATTCATGCTGTGCAGAGAAAGGGAAGAGAGAAGTTAAATAAAATGCACATGCTTCTGCTGTGTTGCCAGAATAAGCCACAGTAGTTAAATCATACTCAGTCAGACTTTCATTGCATTTTCAAGTCTCATATTGTCAGCATTACGAGACAGCTGTATTGAATTAGTAATGCTGTGAGCATGCACAGATTTTCAGAACTCAGATTTAGCTGGGTCTCAGCTGAGAGCTATCATCTTAAACTAGCTACAAGAAATAATTCTGCTTATTAAACATATAGCCTTGACAAATCTATCAGTGATCCAAAGCATTTCTATGAATGGCTCAGTCTGCACACTAGAAAGTGCCAGAAATCCAATGAAAACACATTTAATATATAGAATTATGTTTAGGTAATTGGACAGATCTGATTTTGCAAAAGCCTTCATGGAAAAAGTATCAAACTGCACAAAGGACCCATTCCCTTTCACAAAGTTTCAGCAAAATATCATTTGATTTTGCAAATGTTACTTCAATTGCTGGTAAAACAAAGCAAAAAGAAAACAAACCAAGCCCTACCATGTACTTTTTGCAAATTAGGAAACAATGAAAGGGTTCAAAATTGCCCTTTAAAAAAAAACAAGCTTAGACTACTGAACTAATTTCTATTCAAATACATACCACTAGGAATTTCTCTGCTCCTCCCCCATGCTGTATGCAGTCATCTTTAAAAACCCAAATGCACGTATCCTTTCCCTGAAAATTCCCTCAGGATGCCATGACTTAAGCTGTAGTTTAATTAGCTGGGAGGGATAGTTAAAAACGTAGGGGGCTGCTTTCTACTTAGGGATCACATTTGTTGTACAGCTGGCCAAGAGCCAGGAAAAGATCTGTAAGATGGTTTTCCTTAGTTTCAGAGAAACAAGAACTCAAGTTTAAAAGGTTAGTAGTGAGTGTGAAACAACAGAAAAAGAACATTTTAGAAATCAATACCACCAGTTCCACCTTCATCTGCGGTCTGTTGTTCTGTAGGAGAAGAAGGTTGGTAAGCTAAGTCACAAGGTCAAATAGCAAACAATGCAAGTTAACAAAAAAAAAAAGGGGAAACTGGATATCATAATGATAGCTTGTATCAAAGCACTTGCAAACATGTTCTAAATAAACACTTAAAAGTCAACACTCAAGCTGATAGAAGACACTACTAAAACACACTCAGTACAATTCCACCAATCCAGAAGATAGGCTGAATTGAAGCTTTTTGTTTTATTCTTAGACAATAACTTATGTTAAGTTACTTATTGGCAGAGTCTTCCAGTTAGCCAGTGCATGAAAAGATCCCTTCCACCACAATCCTGATTTGCTGGTCTGATTTCACAATGTTTACAAGCAGAAACAGTTAACTGTGTGAAATAGGAAGCAATGTGAGCTCAAATTAAAGAGCGTTAAAATGTATCACCTGATCTAGAACAGAACCTGCTCTCTGAGAAGCTCAGATACTGCCCACTGCATCTTCTTACTCATTACTGGTCATTCAAATAATCAGTTAGCATTCTGTAACTCTAAAGGTGTGTTTAAAACATTTTAGATGTAATACTACAGTACAACTGGGGTTTTTTTGTTCTGTTTATTATCAGTCTTAGAACACTATTACATGTACTGCATTTGAAGGACTCAATTATTTTAACATTATCCATTACAATTCCCCTTATCTGATGGTTGGGGCAGGCAATGCAGTGCTGCCAGGTGTTGTATTTCCCATGTGGCTCCTCTCCAGCTCTTTCCAAAGTCAAAAATAGCTCTGCGTCTGAGCAGCATTTCTGGGCAAGTACAGATATGAATCTTTCCCCAAGAGCTACCTGTAGATCCTGTTGTAAGATCCAAGACAGAAAAGGATGCCCAGGTCCCTGTGAATAGTGCTGCACCTGCCAGTGTTCATACGTAATATTCTGTGATTTTTGCTATGCTAGAAAAGGTGCTACTTACCTGTTTTACTCTCTGAATCTGGAGTTACAGACCCTCCCCATGACCATCTCTTCTGTCGTGTTTCCAGTCGCTGATTCCGTTCCAAGGTACGATGCAAAGCTGCTTCATAGCGCTCCTATCATCAAACAACACCTCTATGAAGCTATATAATTATAAAGCACAGCTATGCCAGAATAAAAAGTATAGATTTTTTCCCCCCCAGTATGATTTAAAATCTGTTTTACCTATGCTGCCTGATAACAAGCTTTTGTTATAAAAACTACCATGCAAAGAATGTTAAGGGCAATTAATGGTTTCAAAACACTGCAGACATGATTAGGATGAGCTAAAGCACAGATAATCTATTCTACTCTTTACTTAAAATAGCCACCAAACAGATTTCCTATTCAGTAAACAGCACTACTTATTTTCTAAATAGGGATAACCCCAAACTGAGCAAAAATAATTGCTTACCCTTTAAACTATTTATATTCTGAAGTTATTTCTAAAATATGCTAAAAATTCTCCACTATAAAATACCAAATATAAGGTTATTTGTGTTTTCAGAGAACTACACAAACACTGACCCAGGTCTTAACAGGTACTGGCATTAATAGAGATACGATGACACCAGAAATAGCAAGACATGAAGGCAAAACTGCAAAAAAGACCAATCAACTCCAGACCTCAGTAACCGCTGCTACCAGGACAAAGATGACTGAAAGAAGCTTTCTCTTCCGTCTCCAGGACTAGTAACTGCTACTGTGGGAACTTCAGCTCTTGCGCATAAAGATGAACTATAACCATGCTAGACTGTTTCTTCTCCATAATCAGCCAGGTTTCCATACATGTGTCAACAACAGATTTCTCTTCTGGAATAGTCATATCCCAAGCGATCTTTTGAAGCAGTATTTACTGCTGATACATTGCAGTAAGATGCCAGAGGGACTCATTATCCAAACATTTCTCTCTCTTGAGGACACAAGACTTTCACCTTCTTTCAACACCATTTCACAACACAAACTAAAAAAGTCATAGTGCGTAACAGACAAAGTAAACTTGGAAGGAAGGGTGGAAGGATAAAATTAAAGATAAAAGATAAATTTTGTCTGAAATATAAAGCTTAGCTTCCCCTCTGTTAAAGAAACCTGAACTAGAGTTTACCTAAGGCATGGAAGTACCCAGACGTTATGTAATCTGTAGATGATATTTCCATGGAGGTATCTGCAGTGTGGTAGCTCTGCAAAGTCATAGTTAAAGCCATAGGCTTCACTTTACAAACAACAGAAAATCAGCTTAAGACATCAACATAAGTTGCACAGCTGTACAGAATAACTGAGTAACTGTGAGAAGACAGGTATCTCAACCCTAGCCACGGCTAGTTGTCTTCAAGACTCTCTTAGGCAGAGGACCACTTATTTTTCCACAGTATTTGCTCTTGTGCTGCTGCTTCTACTTTATCTAGGGAAGGTGATTAACTAAATGAGACTTGGCTGAAGTACTAAACAAGAATGTTGGATTCTATGTATTTTTTTATGCAATTCTATCTACTAAATTTACAAGAGTAGATGATATCTGGCTGGCAAATATTGCCCTAAGATAGCTTAGCTTCTTTAAAAGTGATTATTTTCTAATGTCAGAGTACAAAAGTCAAGATCTGTTTTCACTTTCTGGTTGAAAACAAAGTTTACTGGTCAAGTGCACACTATTTTCCCACCTGCCGATTCTTCATGTATAACTCTCTGTGTACAAGGTCATCTTCCTCCAGGGACCAAGTAAAAGACAAGGTTAACACCAATCAAACACTCATCAACTAGTCCTTGTCTTCCTTGATTATTCACGCCAGTGGCCACTTAAAACATATCCATCATCCTCAAAATTACATGAATAAACGTACTACAGGCTTAGGGGCAACACCTCTCGAAGCATAAGGGATGCTTTTTGCTTAAAGTAGTTGCTTAAAGAGATGATACTGCACTGGACTGCAGTCAAGGCCCACCCAAACATTTCTGCTTGTTCTTCAACAATGTAAACTATTCCATGAAGTTCAAATGGAATATCAATCTGAACACACCCAGAAGCTGATTACAGATAACTGAACACCAGTGTCAAATACTGCCAGTCAAAAAGGGTAAAAAAAAAAGATGCATTGCTAGAACAATGTAAGAATGGCTGGACTCCAAGGGAACAGCCAGCCAGGCTTACATGCTCTTCATCAATGACCCACAGCAAGTTCTTACAACTTATGAAAGTTTATGAAAGCATGTGCGTGTCATGCTTTTACTGCTAACACCCTGGAAATGAACCCTTTCAGAACATGCATCACATTTAATACGCACTAGCAGACCTACTCTTCAAAGGGGATGACATAACTTTATATATTTATTTCTACTTTCAGCTTCTGTCAATCTTGCCACAAACTCTGCAACTCAGATACTGCCCTGCTGGTCCATGTGCAGTCAAAGCAAAGGCAAAGAGTCAAGTCAGAACAGTCAATACACAGCTCAAAGCAGCAAATAGTAACTAAACAGATAACATTATCAATGGCACAACATATAGTAACAAACTGTCATTTAGAAGAACTGAAAGAATGTGAGCCTCTTAGGCCACAGTGGGGCTCCCAGGAAGCAAGACACAGAATTAGCAAGACACAGAATTAAGGGAAGTAAGTCTAAGACCCGTCACCCATGCTGACTTACAAACAGAATCTACAAAGGGCACTGAAAGGACTCTAGAAATCTAGGAATATGGAGTGGAGTTTTTGCTCATGTGAAAAATAACCAGTGGCCAAACAGCTCCTAAAGTCCTGAGTGCCTCGGGGATAGTTAAAGCTAAGCCTGGGATGAGGAAGGATATATATATATGTGTCTATATAGCCCACTTTACAGATGTGGAAAATATTTTTATGTTCTAATACATTCAACATTTCTGTAACTTTCTATTTCACACCAGTTCAGGGCACGGTAATGTAGGAAAACAATGTAGGAGTTTCTTCAAAACTATAGAACTTTGACGTGTAGTACCTTTTCCTCCTCTATTTTTTGTTTTCTCTTTTCTTCTACTGCTGCCCTCCGTTGTTCCTCTTTCTGCTTCTGTTCTTTTAGCTTTCTCTGCCTTTCTTCTAACTGTTTTTCATACTGGAGTTTTGCTTTTCTCTCCTTTTCAAGGATTTGTGTCTCTTTGGCAGCTGTACATTTTTAAGGAAAAATTAAAATCAAACTTAATTATTCATTGAGATTACAATGCAACTTACAGGCAAGAAACTACCAAGCAAAATTATCACCAGTTAAAGCTAAAACATAGCGCAAGATTAGCTTGCAGTGCTGGACGACACTGCACATGATGACAGAGGTGTCTTTAATTTGGTCCCCAGGTTGGGCAGGAATTAGAACCTTTCCTGCCACTAGACTTTACTGTCTAGAAAGGAATGTCAGGATATGCATGTACCCTATGTTAAGCATATACTTTTCTTGCTGTCATAATAGCGAAGTCTTTATAAGTAGTAAGTTGAGTATCAAAGGGCAGAATTTTCTATGTTGCAATTTTCGTTTTTCTAGAACAAGATATAACAAAAATATTTAAAGCACCGAGTGACAAGATGGGAAGACCCCATAGTTATTGTATCCGAGTTCAAAATAGTTATCTCGCTATTCTCCGCAGCCTCCACCTAGGAACGGCTGTGCGCAGATTAACAGGAAGCTCCAAGTCCCGTGACAAAAAGCTACTGGTTGAATACACAGTGGAAGCATTTTCTGTGGCTAGACAGATGAAATGAACCGAGAGACCAGATAATTATACCAACAATGCACAGGCAGTATCTACATAAGGCCCCCAAAATACTTCTGAATTTATGTGTCCTAGTCCTATCCTCTCTCCATGTTAGGATAACACAATCATTCCCGTTCCTGTGTGGTTTTGCTTTTATGTTAAGAAACAAACATACAGGCCAGAGACGCACCACTCCTCACGAGCTGGGAGACCAAGAACTAGGACTGCAGGGCATACTGTGACCCTTTCATCTCCTGCTGCACATACATGCACTGATTCATGTCACAAAGAGCATAAAGCTGAGCAAGAGCTTTATGCTCTTCTCTAGGTCTCAGATTCTGCTAAGATAAAGCATATACTGCTGACACTTCAATCCAGGAAACGTTTCAGTGTGCTAGAAAACAAGGGAAGCAGTGTTTAAGGCAATCAAGCCATTCAACTAGCTAAATCTTTTTTTGTTTTCTCTGAATCACTGCTCCCCAAACCTCAGTCTTCAGGGCTATGGGAAACAGTTCTAAGCTAAAAGTTACTGTTTCAGAAGTGTTTTTGTTAAGGCTTTCAGTGAGAAACTGGCTAAATTTGCTTGGTGGTCACTAAGAAATGGAAGGTCAGAAGTGACATACAGCTTCAAGAAGCTAAAAATCTCTGGAATGTTTTCCTCTCAAATCCAATACTTCTCCACTGAGGTTCACAGATGGTCACTGATACAAGACCAAGAGCAGACCTTGTCTCTTGTCCCCAGCAAGCTGCAAAAAGTGACTGAATAAGGAGTAAGACAAACATGTATGACAAACATTTTAGGAAATTGTATTTTAAATGAAAATACCATGTTGCTTTTCCCGCTCTTCTCTACGCTCCCTGGCCAGTCTTTGTCTTTCTTCTGTTCTCAGAGTGGAACCATCTATCACTGTCAAAAGAAAAATTGAAGACCCATAACTGTCAGTTATTTAGAACATTCAGATTTAAATAAAAAAGTCAAAAGTCTTTACTATCAAAAGGACACTGGAACTTCTTGAGAGATACGCATACCACCAAAGCACTGCACATTCTACATAGAGATTAAAGATGTCATCTGAAAAATTCATAGGAAGCTGAATACCCTCCTTTTTTCCCTTTCCATTCCCTCACAACAACCAATCCACTATTTTTAATAGGTGCAGCAGAAAGCAGACACAAGAGTAAAAGGCCCAATGTGTACAGTCAAAAGAAGGCCTGAGAAGAAGTCAGACATGTGAGAACATACCCTTACTCCAAATTCAGCTCTGCTCCTCATTCTTGTACATATTAAGTCCTATGATCAAGAATTACAGGAACCTAGGAAAACCCAATCTGAGAACAGATAGTTCATCCGCTATGACAAATTCAAAGAGCTGTAGGATAGCTAGTTTGCCGGCTAAGCAGAACCAAGACTGCTTAAGTCTTTGTAGGTATAAAAACTTGAATTTCAGCAAGAAGTGAACTGGTAACCTGACCAGAGCACAAAAAAAATCATTTCTTTGTTGTCATGCCCTGCTGAAAAGATAGGCAACTTCACCAACCAAATGAGTGAGTCAAGAGCAAAAGTCTGTCATCAAACCCAGACCTTCAATGAATCTATGAACCATCTACCAGGTGCTTTATGCTCTGATGCCTCCTGAAGAAAGAGAACCAAACTTCTTCTCAAAAGATGTTTTATTCATTCCCTACTAACTCTCCCTTGTGAACCTAGTACTTAATTAAGACCAATGACCAATAATTATACCTGGTTTCGTTGCTGTCTTTATATTTATTGAGGTCTGGACTGCAATAGGGCTAACGCCACTTTGGCTTCTTCTTTCTTCTGCTATGGCTTGGGCTGCAGCAACTGTGAGAAAGAATCATTTCATATTAAGGCAAGCTCTACAACCAAAACTCATGAAATAAATATCTAAAATAAATACATAAAACTCTAGTTGAGGTTTTATTAAATAACTAACTTGGGACTGCTCAACTTGTAAGAAGAAAAACTTGCCGAATGAGACTTCAGACCTGGCACAGCTTTTCTTTGCAAAAACAACAGTTACAAAACCTTATGTTTTAAAATGTATAGCAAAGGACTATAAAGTTTCAAAAACAAACAAACAAACAAACAACCCACCAAACTTATTAAAGAACTTTTCTATGAAGAAAAACAATATTTAGCAAAGTCATGAGTCTGACTTACACTTAATAATAAAAACTCTTTGCTACTGCACGTGCATTTGCGGGCTGAACACATATATGTAATAGTTGATTAGCACTGATGGAATCATATTCTGATGAGACCCAAGCAGGGAAAGGTTTATGAAGACCTTTCATTATTTCATGACATGAAACAGAAAGTGGATTAGCTGCATGAAAGTAAACCATTAAGGGATGCTTACAATGTACTTCTAAAACTGGATCTTAAAAAAAAAAAAATTTTAATTATAAATTAGACTCCAAAACAGTAATTTTAGCATTTGTGCAGAGACCCATTTACCTTATTCAAGTTACACCAAGGTGAGTACAGTGAACTGCAGGGCTACAACTCCCAGCTAACCATGCAGTAATGAAATGCTAGCAACATTAATTTCGCTAAATAACAAAACCCATTAAGAAATCGGGGAGACTAATTAACTGTATCACTTTCCACAGATTTTCTTTATTTTGGTATCAACTTTCACTTTAACTAATCACCTTTTAATGTGTGAAGGTGAAGTGTTACAGGGAAAGCAGGCAGGGCAACCTGTAAGACAGCATCACCCCATTTCACTGCACAGCTTTGAACAGGAGTGTCCTTACAGCAGTGACACCTTGTTCTCACCCTGGCTGACAGATACGGGGAGATCAACTTGGTTCTTAGAGAAAAGCCCAGCTTCGGGGGAGGCAAGAGAACACACCATGCAATCAACCAAACACGAGAAAGCAGAAGTCGACGCCTGTTTTAAACAGAAAAGGCAACCCACAAAAGTTAACGCATAACGTGTCATGATTTCAACCATGAAGCGAAGGACGAATAGTAGAATTTGGTGTTACATTTTAAAAAAAGAGAAGACGACAGCTTTGCCAATGATCTCAGGCTTCCCTTTAATAGAGTAGTGCAGAATGCAAAGGAGGAAGGAAGAGCCTCTCTCTTCTCCATGCATTGCCATGACAACTAGTTGTGTCATGGTAATAACCCTCCCTAAGGCTGTGCCCAAGAACAATCACCTCGAAGTGTTTAATCCCATGTGATGTCAGTGATAAACGCTGATTACAATACTTATTCAGCAACTCTAAATTGTCACCCGCAGCTGTTGCCATGTCTTGAATTAATTTTTCATTGCAGCACCAAACAAAAGTCTTCCTCGGTTCCATCTCATACATCTCTGAGGCTCTTTTCAAACAAGTCAGAGACCAGATATCCCGCCACACGGTAAGATTACCAACTGGCAAAGAGAACAGCTAAAGAAGGCCTCACTGTAATTTCACTATGTAGACCGAAAGTCAGTCAAAAAGCTGATTTTGCAGACAGTTGCACATCATGCCGGTGGGACATCTAGCCCAAAAATTCACCAAGCGGAGAACAACAAAATTATATATTCTCAACACAATTAGATGTGAAAACAGCCTGAGGAAAACCAGTCTACTGCAGGTTTTTCTGAGAGCAAAAATATACAGCCAGGGCATTGATATGCAATGACACCTTTGTAGATCACAAAGCTGAAAGAACATAAGCTTCTTCAAATACCAAATATTTAAAGTTGAGACAAATACAGAAACCCAGTTGCATCTTTTCTTCAGTCTCCATCAGCAAGGGAGGAGAGACAGGAGGTGTACAGGCAGACTGAGCCAATTCAGCCCAGCCCAGCTAAGAAATGAGCCCAACAGAATAAATTCACCCTACACCTACACCAGGTTTAGTTAAGACCAACACTGGAATTTTGCCTCAACTCTCACAGTTTAAACATCCAAATTTCTGTAACAAAGTTACAGTAAGAAGCAAGCTGCAATTTAAACAGGTACAATATTCATCTTATTTTACTTGCAGAAGTATTTTATTATCAGAAATCTTGCTGAACAAACCAGTCATAATGGATGTAGGAGATTATGTATTTATTTATTCATTTAAAAATAAACAAACACTTGAATAATGTTCATGATTAGAAGGCATTCATTTAAAAAAAATGTGTCATATCTGCAAAGCAATTAGTCAGTTCATCTAAATTAAGGTTGCAAAAAATTGCTTGAGGTTCTATAGAACAGGAAAGTGGGTTACAGAAACAGTACAGCTTGCAAAGGACACAGAGGTGAAAGAAGTCTAGAAATACTTAGCCAAAGGATTTTGCATGTCAGGGTTTTTTTTTTGTATGTCAGTTAAAATATTTATGTTCACTGCTCCAATGCTTCATTATTTGCATAGAAACAATGTGCTTACAAATTTGAAAACAGCAGATATAAAGGCACTAGGAGTGTACCTTCGTGATACACAGAAGCAATCCATTTAACTAACAGAAAGTAAGAATTAAAAGTAAACTGGGGATTTGAACAAAAGATTATTAAAAGGGGAACAGCCATCACATTAGATACATCCCCAAGATGCGTGAGCTCAATTTCACCAAGTCTCAGCTCAACAGACAGGTTTTACAGCCCTTGCCAATTTTATGGTAAATTTACAATATGTGATTTTCAAAATCCACATTCTACTACAGTAAAAGAAGATGAATTGCATACTGTTGCACTCTGCAACCTTTCAAAAAATACAGATTTTATTTTGCTTTAATATGATAAAAGAAATCTTAATTTTTAATACATTCAAATATTCTTTGGCACAGATGCCTACAATTTTTTTGCCTAGTTTTCCATAATGAATGTAGCAGTCTGCTATGGAGCAAAGCTTCACTGAAAAGAATTTTCCACAAAACCTAACTATCTCTGTCAAATAAGCCTAACACTTCTGTAATTAACCAGGATACCCCAGAACAGGAAACCAGTTAACAACCATTCCACTACAACCTGTGTCACGTGCTCTGTTACTGGGGGGTGCCTTCATGGACATATTCAGCAAAGTTCCTGGAGAAGAAAAATTCACTCGGAGGTAAATTAAATCTCATTTCTATTCTGAGCTTCCCCTCCCACAGTAGTCACTAAAGGCTTTCACAACTATAATTTGTGATCAGCATAATGCGTGTGCTTATTTTACAGTAGTCTACCTTTAAATATTTCAGCTAAAATTAATAAAAGTACGGGCCACACATGTGGCCAATAATAATATTTGCATTCGTGCATAATAAAATAGGGCTATTTGGAACATAAAAAGGTTAGGTAACTTGGGAAGCAGTTTTCCTTCTGCACCCTCCTCACCGTTTAGCACCATGTGTCTGGCCAAGCGCATCATGGATAAACCAACCCAATGGAAGCACCAGGGACTGGCCGCTGTGGGAGGCAACGTGCCAGATAAAGCCAACTCTCCCAGTTTCACCTTCCAGCTCACGGTACTGCTAGCCGTGCAGGTACAGTGGCACCTCCCTGGCACTGAGCATGACGGCACTTCCCTTCACTGATCAGGTTTCCCATATGCCCTGAAGAAACCGGTGCTAAAAATAAAACTTTATTTCTATTTCAATCCTTGCACTGAGTTAATACCCTTGGCCCTTGCCAAGACTGTCAAAGGACCCAGACAGTTGCTGTTCTTAGTAAACCTCATTAGGGACTGAACCGGCTCCATCCCTTCACCTAGCGAGGTTTAGGGCTTCCACCCCATCGCCTCTCCCGCTGTCTTTGACCCAGCCGGACGCTGCCCCACTCTTCCCGTCCTGTGCCGAACCAGAAAAGAGAGCACAAAGTGCTACCTTGCACAGAAATCCTTCTCATTCTTATGATTTAATGACTCATGATGCAAACCAAACAAACAAAAAAAAAAATATGAGACTACGTCTTTGAAATGAAAGGTAGGAGGTCTCCTGAATGCTAAGTATTGTTAGGAACCAAACTGTTTTTGAGCAAGTTTAAAGCAGGTAACAAGAAGCCAATAAGCAATCCATAAAACAGAACAAATTTGAACTTCCCAGCAAATATCTCTGATTTTATAGCAAACTGTGTCAAATCTGCAAGATGCCATTCCTGTCTTGCTCTGCTACAGGCAGCTACTGTTTGTCTAGCTGCTAGTAATCCTCTTCAGTAACAGTGTTCAGATCCTATTTCTTTTAATAATTTTTGTACATGTTTTCAGGAAAGCAGGGGGAAGTCAGCATTCAAGTTTGAGATTTCTGCGTATTGTCTTTAAGCTGATTTCCACTCATTAATTAACACAGGTTAAGACAAATGGATGCAAGATCATATAGTGAGATGGTTTCAAAATCAAGTATTGGTTTCATACTACTACTCCTTGTTTAAAGGAGGATGCTCCCTCACACAAACAGGTGGACAACACGGAAAGCTTCTAATGAGGAACAGAAGAGACTTTCTGTACACATTCCTTTTTTCCCTTCTTTCCCCCTTCTTTCTGTCTTTCCCCGTTGATCCTCGTGTCCCATCTTTGGGCTGCAAGGACTGACAGGCTCCACAACCAAACACGTGAGCCTCCCAGTAGGCACCTTCTGACAGACCAGCTGGAAGGCAGATGGTTCTCCTGTTTTGCCTGGGCAGTCACCAGATGGGAAGCACACAGATCTCCAGAAAGCAGTGCACGCCGTCTCTCAGCTTCAGCAGGCCAGGCCAGAAGAGCTTCCTGTTGTCTTATCCTTATTCCAGACTCTATTTGCACACTTCCATTGCATATTTATTCCCTGCTTGGGATACCTGTTTTATTACCCTTAAGTGCCTTCCTCCCCTTAAGCCCATTTCTGCAGCTAATTCTGTACAACAATCTGGTTTTCTTCCCAATGTTCAAGGCAGTTTAGGATGATTTCTTCAGTTCATTACAAGTACCAGTCCAACTGGAAAACTGTTTGCCACAAGCATTCCTCTGTAATATGAATTAGCAGGTCCACAAGTATTTGAGATGTATTTGCAAGAACGTAAGTTTTTACTTATCCTTAAACATCCATACTCAAGATTAAGAGCTAGAAACGTTAAAAAATCGCATCATTAACAAAATGCTACTTATTTCTTCTAAGCAAACTACAAAGATAATGGCTGAAGCAATCGCAAAGACATGTTACTGTATCTGTTCAGCCTAGAGCATGCTCAGAGAGGCACCAGGAAGGTTGCTAGAGTAATTTCTGCATTGATCTCTGTACACTTCTCCCTAGGGGAAGCACACAGTCTAAACCAAACTTGAACGTAATATAAGCACAGACCAAGGAATCAAAATTTGTCCTTAAAAGAACTGGCAGCTATCTTCCAAAACTTTCTACAGTTAGAGATGCTACCCCGCTGTCCAACAGCCATGAGATGAGTACCATCCTTAGTCCAAACACTAGTGATACATACTGTGAACATATCTCCTACAGAGGTCCTACTGATTCCTGCTGTTGCTCATACTCTTATGTTAACCTTGCTCAAACTGCCCAACCAAGAGTTAGGCTTCTCTCTACCTAATGGAAAAAGCAACTGCCAGCACAACGCTTAAAGAAGACAGAGAGATGTCACCAACTCTTACAGAAGCCACCATAAGGTTGGTAAGAAGCACAGTCTGTACTGTGCACACAGGGCTGACAAGCTAAATCTACTCCCTTCTTTGGAAAAGAGACCCAGCTTCACAGTTTGGGGTTCTTTATTAGTAAGGTATGCTATTACCACTTGAAAGAAATTAAACTGAACCACAGCAGATACTCTGCTCTCACTCACCGGCTTTCTGCTGCCTTCACTTTGCCACTCTCTTCCTCCCCACGGCTATTCCTCATCTTTCCAAAGCACCGTCAAGAGGCTTTGCATTCAGCATGATCCACTTGTCACTTTTTTTTTTTTTTTTTTAAAAAGAACACAATCTTTCACTCTCTCTTTTGATAAATGATTTGTACAAAAAGGCCGTCCAAAGGGGACACTTCTCCAAGTCACACATTCCCGACTCTCTGCAAGCTTTAATGCAAGTCAGATCATTTCCCTGCTGTACCTGGCATTAGTTATTAATCAGTTTATTGCATTGTGCTTACCAAGATTATTTGCACAATGATGTCCCTTTAGAGCTGATCCTTCCTACATAAAGGATATACAAGCCTTACCATCTCAACTGTGTTCTTTAGCAAACGGCCACACATTGCTGCTGTTCTCTGCTGTCTAGAAGACAGCCTTAATAAGACACAGCCACAGGGAAGCCAGAGGTTTGGAAAGGTTGGAACGCTCATTATGTTTCCCAGTGAAAGAGCAAGGCACTAAGGTATTTATACTCTTTGTAAAATTCTCCACCAGAATACATTAAGGTTGCATTTTAGATGTAAAGAGAATATTTCTACACAAAGTTTCTGTGGGTTGGCAACTACAAACTCTTCTCACCAACTGCAAAACAAACAAAAATTGCTTTCATCCACCTTGAGTGACTTCTTTTAAGGATATATTAGACATTGACTGCAATGATGATGCAATGAACTGTGACTAAAAGTCCCTTGGTGAACCTTGCCAAGTGTAACAGAAATCAGTATTTACCTGTTTCTCCATAGTGGAAATTCCAAAATATCCTAATAGCCTGGAGTAAAATGAAAGCAGTTTATATAAAAAATATGCCCCTACATCATTTCAAGTGGATTTACTGTGAAATGTACCAGTTATGTGACGTAACTTAAATGCTTATATATAGGTGTGTACAGATTAAACACTCCAAACCTGACAGAATTAGACAAGGGTTTTACAGCTACAGGATGAAAAAGGTAAAATGGTGGAGTTTCAAACACAGAGTGGAAGATTATTAGTACCCACTCTGCTGTACAGATCATTTTCTTTCTTTGCTAACACTTTCCAATGCCTCAGGCTCCTGGAGTACATTAGGAAAAAAAAAATTTTTAACATGTTTTATGCCTCACATTGGACTGGCTTAACAGAGCAGTCCCACTTCTAACATGCACTGAGCAGTTTAGTTCCTACCATAATTCTAGCTCAAGCGTCAGCAAAAGCTAGACAGACAGAAATCAGCTAGCCCTGCTTTACTCCTCCAATTGTGGAAGCTGCCTTAAACTGACTCCGGTTCACACTCCTGCACAGCCACAGCAAAAAGCAACTTCAAGACAAACTTTTGCTCTCTTCTCCTCTTTCACATCTGTTTTCCGCATTGTATTATTTCTTTCTCTTATATTGCACTATCCCTAACACTGGAAATCAGCTAACTTCTATCTGCTACTTCCCCCTTCCTGAGCAGTCTGGTTTCTTTTGCTTGCTTGAAGCATGTTCCTGTAAATGCTTTTGTCCTCTTCTTTTCAGGCTGGCGATTGTTTAATACACTCAGCCCAAACAGCGCCAGCAAAGAACACAAGTCACAACTAACTTGAGACAAACCCCGTGAAAACACCATTTTGAGCTTTCTTTAGATGGCAGGATAATAGCTCCTTTACATGACAGCAGTGAAAACTACTGCGTTTGCCTTTTACACTTGACAAAGCCTTCTTCCTCCAGCTCCAGGAAGCTTCATGCTTGCAGACTCTTGTCCTACTGGGGGACTTCAACCACCCCAGCATTTGCTGGAAAAGCAACGTGGCGAGCTGCAGGCAATCCAGGAGATTCCTAGAATTCACTGAGGATAACTTCCTAAGCCAGGTAACAGACACCCCTACCCAAGGGGATGCAATACTGGACCTGATGGTCACCAATGCAACTGAGCTCATTGGCGACGTCAAGACTGGGGGCAGCCTGGGCTGCAGTGATCATGCACCAGTGGAGTTCTCACTCCTAAGGGATATGGGAAAAGCGAGGAGTATAGTCAGGACCCTGAATTTTAGAAAAGCAAAATTCCATCTCTTCAAGGAGTTAGTCAGAAAGACCCCCTGGGAAACGGTCCTCAGGGACAGGGGAACGGAACAGAGCTGGCAGATCTGTAAGGACTCCTTCCACAGAGCGCAAGAGCTCTCAGTCCCCAGGTGTAAGAAATCAGGCAAGGAAGGGAAGAGACCAGCATGGCTGAGTCGAGACATGCTGGTCAAACTAAAGAGCAAGAGGGAACGCCACAGGCAGTGGAAGCAGGGACAGGTGTCCTGGGAAGAGTACAGGGAAGCTGCCTGGTTGTGTAGGGATGGGGTCAGGAAGGCCAAGGCGTGGCTGGAGCTGAATTTGGGAAGCGATGCAAAGAATAACAAGGGCTTCTACAGGTATGTCAACCAGAAAAGGAAGGTTAAAGCAAGCATACTCCCCCGATGAACAAGAATGGCGACCCTGTATCAACGGACGAGGAGAAAGCAGAGGTACTCAACAAATTCTTTGCCTCAGTCTTA